TATAAAAATCAATAAAATCCATTTGCAGAAAGTATAGAAAATATTTACTCAATATTTCATTACGTGTGATAAGATAAGGTGTTTTAGGATCAAATTGTATTGTAATATGTTAAGTTTTATTGAAATGTGTATGACTCTGTAAAAAAGATAATATGTATTGACGCGTGAACTGTAAATGATCAAGGTAAAAATTAGAATTTATTGTAATGTTTATATTTATTAACAAGTCATAATAAAATTTGTAGTTGCTGATGAAGTCCCCAGTAAGGGACGAAACGTACAACTAGTTCAAAATAAATTGTTCATCAGATTTATTAACCGTCTATAATTCCCTTTGAGAGACTTATATATTATTTCATTTATTATTTTAATCTAAATTATAAAACCTCTCTATGTGTGTGTGTGTGTGTGGTTTTTTATTAAATAATTTATTTATTTATTTATTCGTATATATAGAATAATTAAAATTTGTCCACGGCAAATCAACAATTCCAAAATAATTTTTTTCCAAACAAATTTTTATTTTCTTTTTACAATAATTGAATTGTCAATTTTCTCGCTAAAATGGTTGAATTAAATTTGTAAAAGGTTGAATAATATTATTTTCATAAAAAAAAAAATTAAATTTGAAGGAGAAAACGGTACCGTCATAAATTATTTCAGAAACATTCATTAATATTATGTAATTAAAACGAAATTCTATTTGTACATTAAAGATAAGATATAGAAGTATGTATAAAGTTAAGCGAGAAAAATTAGATTACGTTAGAAACAAATATTTAAACCGAGATGTTGCAAAGTTTCTACGTAAATATTTATACTGTAAAAAAAAAAAAAAAAAAGATTTAACATTTTTAATGACTTCTTATACGTGATAGTCAGCAAAATAGATCGTGATCAATGATCTTCGACTCGTCTTTCTTGCGAAATACATTTTACCATTATCTATTGTATATATACTCCATCGGTAAAAGCGTTGTTAAGTTACGTAACTGCATGCCCCGCATAATATACTTCCTTATTATCATAAATATAGTATATACGTTTGAATTTTTCCTACTCGCCATTTTATAAGTATGAGTTAGGTTTGTTTATGAATATCAGTGGTTCTCAAATGATAATTCACATTAATCTTAAGGGGTTACATGGGTTTGGGACTTTCAAACAAATTTTTTTTTTTTTTTATCTTTTTCAATTCTACAACTCATCTAGAATATTGTATTGAATTTTGAAGTCGATAGGAGTAGTAGTTTAAAAGATAGAGCCTTGAGAAGCACTCAAATCTTTAAACGCGTTTTTCTCAAAACGCTTTTTCTAAATTCGGTTGATCAAGATTTCTCGAAAACTATTTAACCGATTTTCATGAAACTTGCTACACGTCTTCGTGATACTATTGACAAGGACTTGGACGAAGGATTTTCCTTTTTTTTCATAAAATCGAATTTGAAGAAACCAAAATGTGATGCAAATTGTAGCGAAATTTGAATGTTCTTGCTAAAAACGTTGCCAAAAATCCAAATTTCCGTTTTTTTCTTTTTCCTTCGTCCAGTT